ATTTAGAACCACAGTCTTAGGCCGAGTTCCCACCTGCCTGTGATAACCTTGAGCAGTTACTGTGCCTTAGGGCTCTCTCTGTCTTATGGACAGTCAACAGGAAGGACACAATTTTAGCCACACTTACCATCCATTACAGTCATGTATTAATTTCTTATTCATCCCAGTATCAGTTTCAGGCATCTAGCACGTGGTAGATATTCAACAGATGGTAGCTAGGACTCACTGGATGTCTTGTGGTTCCTCCTACATAATTCCTCTTACATAGTTAGGCACATTAAAAATCATAAACAAGATAAGAAGGATTAAGGCTTAAGAATATGTACAGATATTTGCTGCTCACTTATGGACTGGGTTTCCTGCTTTTTAAACACTTCAAAAAGAACATAAGCTTTAGAGTCTTTTTTATTTTTATTTTTTATTTTTTGAGAGACAGAGAGAAAGAGATAGAACATGTGAGCACTAGCGGAAAGGGGTAGAAAGAGAATCTTAAGCAAACTCCATGCCCAGCATGGAGCCTGACATGGGACTTGATCCCACGACCCTGGGATCATGACCTGAGTTGAAATCAAGAGTTCGATGCTCAATTGACTGAGCCATCCAGGTTCCCCTTTAGAGTCATTTTTAAATTCTGGCTTTCCTACTCACTTCAGTTATGACTTTGCACAAGTTCTGAGCCACTTTTTTCTTCTCTGAGTAATGGGGATAATATTAACTAGCTTAAGTACTCAGTAGTTATTATTATGCTTGCTATTATTTGTCTTCAAAACCTGGACCTTTGTCCTCCTTTGTACTCAATACCTACTTATCCTTTCCCACCATGTTTGACCTCTTTTCCACAGGCTTTTCGTATGATCATGGCATGACACTAAATTCCCATTTTTATCCTAATATTCAGGATTGATGTTGTCCAGTATGGTACTTACAGACCAGAGGTAGATATTTAAATTTAAGTTACTTAAATCAAATTATAAGTTTATTTTGTCAGTAGCACTAGACACACTCAATAGCCATTTGTGGTTAATGGCTACCATATTGGACAGCAGAGCTATGAAATATTTCATCACCACAGAAAGTTCTCTAGGTCTGTAATCCCCAAGATACTGTTTATTTCTGAACATCTGGACTGTCACAACTTAAATCCCTGAGGAAACAAACTCTGAGGGAAAAAGGTAGAGATTTGCATTCAGGAAATTGACTGGGGAGTGGTTTTAGGAATAAATCTGGGAAGGAGTGAAGGAAGTAAGATTAGGCAAAGGGAGAGGTTCAACTGTGAAATAGTCATAAAAGAGGCCTCAGTATATCTTAGGGGGAGCTCTGAACCTGGGATGGCTCTTCAGAAATATTTGGAATTGGGGCAAGAGAGTCAGGCCCCTACACCCCTTCGCCAACAGTCATGGGATGCTGGCTATAATGTCCTTTTGAAGCAGGGGCATAACTTGGGGGAAGCAGCTCTCTTCCAATAAGGAAGAATCCCAGGAAAGGGACCGAGCTGGAAGCTGTCAGTTACCAATACTACTAGCAGCTGAGGAATACATGCCTCTGTCCTTAAGGGACATGGTGTGGCACATCACAGTGTCCCTTGCATGGCCTCATTAGAACTTTGATGTGCTTTCACCTCACAGCCTGTTGATGCTTGAGGATCTTGTCTCTGGGCCTCAGCTTCATCAACTCTTTTCTGCTGCTTTTCCTGTTCAGTGCAACACAACTAATGGGCTAAAAGTGAGAGAGTTTCTGAGACTCAAATGACTTCTGTCTTTCTAATGATCGTACTCTTTAAAGCCCAAAGCAAGTGCTGTTGGAGCCATGTGTATGCTGTCCCTATGGGTCTTACCTTCTTACCTTTAATGTGAAGGGAAAATGTGGAGACATAGAACTAATTCTGCTGCTGCTAGGGCTGGTATTGTCCTTCGGAGATCCAATATGGAATGCAAATAGCAAACAGTTGTCTCTGGATGATTTTAATTGTAAGTAATAGACACCAACTCAAATATAAGTCAAAGGGAAATTTATGAGGATGATACTAGAGTATTTCATGGAATCAGAGAGCAGCCCAGTTAGAATGTAATCCATACTCTTAGTCCAACTATCACGTGTTTCCATGTGGAAAGACCTCTGTTAGTGTCTGACTCCTGGCTACTTTCTACCTTCTCACTCACTCCTCCTTGAGAAGGGGTAATTTACCTAATGAGTGAATTTGGAAGAATAAATTGGACATGTTTGGCTCAGCCTTTTCCTTCTTTTTGAGATTATTTGCTTATAGAGGATATCCATTCTACTTGGCTCCTTCATCTGATTATGTTTTAAAATCCCTGAAAGATGCCTGTAGGGAAACACTGTGGTAGATAGGTCTACCTAATCTAGGATTATGAACTAGGAAGGCAACTCTGTCACACCTAAAGCTGGGATCTCCAAATGGCTCACAAATAAAGGGGATATTTTGATGTTAACATGTATCCTGAGTCTCCAGATTGGATCAGAACTTGGGTAGAGAAGGGAGCGCCTGAGTGGTTCACTTAACCGTCTGACTTTGGCTCAGGTCACGATCTCACAGTTTGTGAGTTCGAACCCCATGTCGAGCTCTGTGCTGACAGCTCAGAGCCTGGAGCCTGCTTCAGATTCTGTGTCTCCCTCTCTTTCTGTGTTCCTCCCCCACTCTTGCTCTGTCTCTCTCTCTCTCTCTCAAAAATAAATGAAAACATTAAAAAAATTAAAATTAAGAAAAAAGAACTTGGGTAGGGAAGTGGGGTCTTCATATTGGGCTGTATCAAACTTTAACACATTTCTCTTTTCTCCACATTTACTTCTGTTTAGCTTTTTCTGCCTTTTCATTCACCTGACAGAAGATGGCCACATTCACATCATTCATTTCTTTTCTTTTTTTTTTTTAAGATTTTAGTTTTAAGTAATATCCACACCCATCGTGGAACTCAAACTTACAACACTCAGATCAAGATCTGCATGCTCCACCGACTGAGCTAGCCAGGCACCTCTCACATCATTAATTTCTAAAGCCACTTGTAGCAACCTATTGGTTGCCTTTTTTTGTTTTGTTTTGTTTTTTTCTAGTTGTCCTTCTGTCAAGAGAGTGTCTTATTGATTTAACTTTGGACAGATACCCATATTTGGTTGAAAAACCTGTGTAGCACTAGGGGAGGGTAAGTTCACATATTATAGAAACGACCTTTCTGGATGGGGAAAAAGTGAGGTGGTTGTGAATGCCCATGGTAGATTTTTACACAAACATGGCAGGGATTAGGTATTTTGGACCAATTAATTACTTTCATTTAGTTGATCAAAAAGTGGTGTTAAATATATTCTGTCCTCATGTTTTTGTTTCTATGAATCTATACTTCTTTTTAAACTGAACTTTCAATGCAGCTATTTAAATGCCTACTTGATTTAGCCCATTTGATGAAATCATCAAGGTCATTTGATTAAATATTCTCTTTAATCCATCTCCTCCAAAGGTCACGTACTATTGAAAGTTCTGCTGGAAAATTATGTGTAAAAAGGTAAAGGAAAAGGAGAAAAAGATCTATCATGGGACATAGTTCAGGTCAACAGGTCGTACACTGCCATCCAGGAAGATTTTCCCATGTTTCGAATCACCTATCGGCGGGTTTATACATATGGTAACTTACAATGGCATTTCAGATCATTCAGATAATCTCTCACTTGGATTGTGATGCTCTGTAATAAAATGTATGGTCAAACCAGAGCATCCTCTATGCCTTTAGTTCAAAATAACTCATATTTTCTGGAAACCCAGAGCCAGCCCAAAGCAGGTTCCTTTATAATCATTAAGGTCACCTGACCTGTGTCACAAAAAAGGCAGGATATTGATGATGAGCCACGCTGCTGAGAAATTAATCTTCAATCAACATGTGTATATGTGTCTTCTAGAAGTTAAGATTGATATTTCATGGCTTCTTTTATTGTAGAACTGAGGGGCATGTTACATGTCAAGATGAAATCAATGTGAAATTGATGGCCGAGAGGAATTTGGTCTTAAGGGCTTTGCAATGGTGTAACAATCAAGTTGTTCTTCCCCCTGCCTTACTAAACTATTTTATTTGCAGTAGCAAATTCCCCACATAAAATTCTGTATATTATTTCAACTCCTTTTTTTTAAGTGATCTTAACTTTGTTGTTATATTTATTGTTCTTTATAGTGTAACATGAATGTATGCTTATTTTACAAAGCTGGAAGACAGAAAATAAGAAAGATGAAAAATTATTTATAAACCTATCACTACCTGTTTATTTAGGCCTTCAAAAAAACAAATTGAGCTTATTTTGTATCTATAATTTTGTGTGTGTTTTTTTAAAACACTATTTTTAGCAGAGAGTGTGTTGTTATAATTGTCTTTTAGCATAATTTTTAATGACTGCTTAACTATTCTTTTTTTGCTGGATATTTCATTTGGTTTCAGTTTTTCATATTTATAAAAGATTACATCATTTATAGAATTGTAATGATGATACTACAGTTTGTGTATTAGATGTTAAAATTATGTATATAATATAGTACATATGTATTATATATATATGTTTCATATAATATGTATAATACATATATATATAATTTTTCCTTCAGATTAGTTCCCAGAAGTAGAATTATAGGATGAATTTTTCTTTTTAATTTTTGCTTCTTTCTGATTCAGACCCCAAAAGATTTGTTGGATGCTTGAGAAAAATACACTCGCTTGGTCTGAGATTCTTCTGAACAAATAAAAGCATGTTCTCTTCATTTCAGTGAAGATGATTAAGTCCCTTTTTGCCTTAGACTGTTTTGAGATGCTTTCATTCTCCCCATCCCTACCCCCAACACACACAAAAACGCACACTATTCAATCATGGAAAATGGAAAGTTTCTGCTTATCTTGTCCTGGCTGAGAAAGAAATCTCCTGTCAATTTTGAACAATGCAGTTGAAAGTAAAAAAGTTCTGAGTGATTTTAAGATGTTTCTTTTTTTCTTTTTCTTTTTCTTAGGCAAGTCATACACATTTGCTACTGAAATCAACAACCTCAATGCCTATGGTGCTAAAAACACATGGTGGGCCCTTGCTCATGGGATGTGGAAAGTGCACTGGATTTGAAATCAGAACATCTGGCTTGGGGCTTGGCACTCTGCCCCTGCTGTGTCTTATTTCCCACCAGGTGAGGTCCTTTATTTGGTATCCATGGCCTCAGTCAATCCTTGTGGTGACCCCCTGAACTAGCTGTCACCACTCCCATTGTTTATGTGGGAAGCCAGGGTTTTGCAGGTTAAAGCAATGACACATGGCTGCTGAATGGGAGACATTAGGAAGCTCAGAGCTCCTGATCCCAATCGTTTTTTTCATTGTCCCATGATGTTTTTATTACCCATGTTTTATTGGACAAATACTTACTCTCTCTAAGTCTTACTCAGTCCCTTTTAAATTGTAGATATTTATATCTACCTCACAGGGCTTTTGTGAAGATCAGATGAGATTATTGAAATTGAGTGTACTGGTAAAACTGAAATATAGGTGTTAAGAATAAGGAGTATGCTAACGAGAAAGGTGAGTAGAACAGCGTTTACTTAGATGGCTTATATTGATTTCTGAAAAGTTTGAGTTTTTTTTTAGTTCCTGTTTTACCAGTTTTTATTTTATCTATTTTCCTTCTTATGTATTCATTTAATAATTCCCAAGAAAATGAGATGCAAAAGTATTTAATAACGAAATGTTATGGTATTGGACTTCAGCAAAGCAAGAAATTTGAGTTCTTTTGACATTAAGTTTTTCAGCCTCATCACTCTTGACATTTTGGGTGGGGTAGTTCTTTGTTGTGAGGGCCTGGCCTGTATACTATAGAATGTTTATCAGCATTCCTGCCCTCTACCCACTGGATGTCAGTGACACACCCCTCCCAACTGTGACAATGAAAAATGCCTTTAAATATAGCCAAATGTCACCTTGGGGGTGGGGGTATGTACAAAATTGCTCCCATTTGAGAACTGTTGTTTTAACAGACTGTCTGTCTTACAAGATGCAAATTTTATTCACCATGATCTTGGTGTGTTCTGATTTCTTATTATGTCAAGAGTATGATGTAAGAAAAATAATTCTGCAAAGGAAACTATCTTCAGCATTTATTTGTTGCCTTGATCTATTCAAATTTTACAACCTTGTTACTAGATGAACATCATTGTTTCCCCGACTGCCCAGACAATTTTCACCTGCTGCCAATACCAAGATCTGAACACAAGATTATAAAAAACAAGAAATAAAAAAAAAAAAAACCCACACAATTACAATCAGAAGCCTGTTCTGGGGATAACAGCTCCTGTAAAATTTCCCACTTTTATTACAATTTTGGTCTCAGGAATGGATTTGTGTTGTGCCATTTTCAGTTCTCGTTACCATCATTGTCATAACAGGGAATGAGCCAAATTGCAATGTGCCTCAGATAGTCTGTCACTTGCAATAGTGCAGGGCTCTGCTCTTACCTTCTGTTATTCCAGAGCGCTGAGGAGGCACAGTCGCTGACCAGAGAAGATGAAGCACTCTGGAGAGATCAAAGGCCATTGAGGCCTGAGTGGCTGTACAATTTAGCACTGGGGGTTCTATTCAGGAGTCTAAATTGCAGCTAGTCCTTCTGTCCAAAGAGCAATATGGCACATGGTTATGTGACATCACTCAGCTTAGCAAAAGGCAGTTCTCATCAAAGGAAAGAGGAAACTAGGATGAGATAAAGTATTTCTTAACACCTACTATGTGCCTCTAGGCTAAGAAATTGATATGTGTTTGTTCACATAATCTTCACAGGAAATATATGAGGTAAATATCATTATATCTGGTATTTTACTCCCAGAAGTAAAGTAACTTTCCTAAGATCAGATAGGGCTGAGAGATTCAGATCATAGCTTGAAAAGTCTCTGGTTTTACTAAATCTGTGCACTTCTATCCATTATATTCACATATGAACTAATAATCTAGTAATAGGTATTGTGTTATGAAATTGACTCAGATATCTAAAACTTAATCTATTATTTTGAAAAGTGGCTTGCTCATTTTGAGGAGCATGGAGGGAGGCCCCTTGCACCTCCACACTAGTCAGTGAGCAGAGGAAGAACACTGGGGAGTCATGATAGTAATTAAGAACTTTTCTTCCTAAAATGTTAGAGGTTCTTTGAAAAGCAAAGACATCTTGAAGACTTGAAGTCTCTGTGATGTTATCACATAAGTCAGTTGGGCCTTTGTTTTTCATAAAGCGAGGTTTATTTATTTTAAATTACTTGATCTAACATGAAACTCTGTTAGGTGAAGGGGACTGAGCTAGGAATAGGCATAAAACATAGTCCCTTCCCTTAATGTGGCTTATGTTTTGTGGAGGATATAAGAAATGTTTATTAATTTCTATAAAACATAGGAGATCATGAAAGACGTTAAGAAATGTTCAAATGAGGGATACTTGGGTGTCTCAGTTGGTTTAGCATTTGGCTTTGGCTCAGGTCATGATCTCCCAGTTCATGAGTTTGAGCCCCATTATTGGGCTCTCTGCTGTCAGCACAGAGCCCGCTTCAGATCCTCTGTCCCCCTCTCTCTCTCTGCCCCTCTTCCGCTTACACTTTCCATCTCTCATAAATAAATAAACATTTTCTAAAACACTTAAAAAAATAAATGTTCAAATGAAAGAAATGGCATAGCTCAGAGAAAAGATATACACTCTTCGACAACATGGAGATCACAGCCTAGATTGTCAGAAAAGCAGCTGCTGAACAGGGACATGCAGACTTGTAAGATAAACTTTAGGCCAAGGTGAAGGTCACTGAGTATCAGTTGATGACTCATCTCACCTTTCTAGCCTCTCACCCATGAGCTGAACGTGAGCTTTCTTTCTCTAGTCACTGTGGACTTGACTGCCTACAAACAAGCAGGCGCATTTGCATATTTACACAAGCTGATGTTTCCTCCTGCAAGGCTCTGGCCACATTCCTCTCTGCTCATCTCAATCCAGTCCTTCTTTGATTAAATCATTTCTGGCTTCATTGCTAACCACACACCTTTTTCTTGTGACTTATTCTCTCATCCCATTTCTGCTGAAGGGATTGTCTTAGCCTCGTGAACTGTGGGATCCTCTCCCTGGCAGGTAATTGAAACAGAGGTTATGTCGGGCCAAAGGGAAAGTGGTTGAGCCAAGCAAATTCTGTCAATAACCTGAACCAAGTGACACAGAGCCTCTGCAGTGGTGGGAGAGATGGATCTGGTCCTGAAGACTGACAGCCACGTTGGGCTGAGGGGAAGAGTACAGCTGAGAACTGGAAGAAAAGCTAAGAGAAGCAGAGACAAGAGAGGAACAGCAGTCTCTGGGAAAACTACTAAAGTTGCTGACTTTCCAGGTGTACTTGTAGCTCACAGGTGACTTGCTTGTTCTAATGTCCCTACTTTAGATGCCAAGAGATTAATAACCTAAGGCCACTTGACTTGAGCTCATTAGAATGGGTTTCTTACCCTTTCAACCCAGTGGGCTTAGACTGACACATCTGGCTGCACTGATCTTCCCATTCTCTGACTTCCTGTTCACTTATGCTGAGTTTTTCATTTCCTAAATCCATCAGATGCTACTTAGCATTTTTATTTGGTTGCTGCTGAAGAGTGTGCCCATTTTCAAGGACAGTAAGGTCTTTAAGTGTGCAGGTAATACCTCATACTTGGGAGGTATACAGTACAACATTGTGGTTTAGAGCATGGAGCTTGGAGATAAACTGCCTGGGTTCAAATGCCATCATTACCACTATTCAGGCAGAGTAGGCTGGAGTATGCTCCACTAACATACAACCCTCAAGTTTGCGGAGGCTTCACACGGTATGTTTTTGTGCTTCTGTGAGATGTTCCACCCCTACTGACAGGAGGCCTGTAATCATCACAGTCACTCAGAATCCCAGGCTCCATCCCAATACTTACGTCAGTGAAAACCAAGCCTGAGCAAAGAGAACATAGTGGATCGAACAGGGTCTGTTAGCAATTTTACCTAAGTTCAGTTCTATCATGGACCTCTGCGGAGAACTGAAATATTTATGAGAGCTCTTAAGACTTCCATAATTTCTTGCTAGCAGTGTAACTTGGGGTATGTTGTTTTATGTCTTTGTGCATCAGTTTTCTTTCTTTTTTTAAAGTTTATTTATTTATTTTGAGAGAGAGAGAGAGAGCAAGCGAGCACAAGTAGGGGAGGGGAAGAGAGAAGAAGAGACAGAATTCCATGCAGGCTCCACACTATCAGCGCAGAGCCTGAAGTGGGGCTTGAACTCATGATGCATGAGATCATGACCTGAGCTGAGATCAAGAGTGGGATGCATAACCGACTGTGCCACCCAGGCACCCTCATCAGTTTTATTTTCTTTGAAATGAAGCTAATGATAGTACTTCCCTTTGGTGAGGAGGCATTAAATGAGATGATATATGTAAAGTTCTTGAGACAATGTCCAGCTCATTGTGAATGCCATGTAAGTGTTAGCTGGTGCTTCTTGTAAATACTTGAAGTCTAAGTTACTTGCTTGATTCCTTCACTTATTCACATCCCTACCTGTGAATCAAAACTACTGAAGATACCATAGTTGGCATGCTTCAGGAATGATATTGATAGAGTTACTTACCGGTCTTCTTTCATCTCTTATTCATGTAGGGACAGAAATTTCAACCAGTGGTTGTTTGTGCTGTTCTCTTGCCTTATAGCTCAGCTTTCTTCTGAAAAATCAATTGTACTACAAATGCAAGGCCATCGCTTTTTTATAGCCCCACTTACCCTGTCTTCTGCATAAAATGTCATTCTAAATAGCTGTCAATAATCCAAAAGAAAGGAATACACACCTATTTATTAGCTATTCATGGTGTCCATTATTGCCTCGAAAAAATAAACTTAATTACAAGGGCCACATTGAATATCTGCCATGGTTTGGCTTAAAAGTTTTTATTCTTGTCTGGGTAGACTGCCCTGAATAACTTATCACATCCCTAACACTACTGGGAAGGAGTTGTCTATTTGCCTAAATTGCTATGCTCAGCATCGCTTCAGGGGGAAAGCATAAGGTTACCAACTGTAAAGGCCTGCCATTACTTTCAGAGTTTATATCAGAAAGTGTTCTTCTCAAACTGAGCACTGGTTAGGAAAAAGAAAAAAAAAACTTTTTTAGAAAAGCTGCCTAGAATAAAAAATGGCCTCAATTCTAACAGAGAAGAAATGTGGTTTGGCATCAATAAAGGAGTAGATAAGATGCAGTGTAACCAGAAAAATGCTGCTTCCAGCCTCATCCTGTGATCAAAGCAAGAGTGTGTTCTTTTGAATAGTTCATTGCTCTGGTATTTGCTTTAGCACACCCACCAGGGGGCCTCAGTGATTTTTTCTTTCTGTGAAGGATGGTAAATAGCACTTTGATCCATCAAGAGCATGTATATTTACATGGTGTCTTCCGCTTTGTCTCTCTAAACACAAAGTCTCCCTCCTTCTGTTTAGGGCCCCGCCATGCCCAAGGGAAGCAGGTGCTTCACGTGGTGGTTTGTGTCCCCCTGCCCTGAACTCAACCTTAACCCAATTCAGCTGGCAGTTCCTATGTTGTGCTCTAACTCCTTGGGGATGCCGTGGCTCCTCTCTCTACTTCAGTCATCTTTTCTTTCTAATTTTTTTTATGTTTATTTTTTGATAAAGAGAGAGACCCTGAGTGTGAGTGAGGGAGGGGCAGAGAGAGAGAGGGAGACACAGAATCAGAAGCAGGCTCCAGGCTCTGAGCTGTCAGCACAGAGCCCAATATGGGGCTCAAACCCATGAACCCTGAGATCATGACCTGAGCTGAAGTTGGGTGCTTAAACTGACTAAGCCGTCCAGGCACTCCTCTTTTGGTTATCTTTTGTAACCATCCCTCTCCTGCCATTTCTTGTGATCTCTACTGGTCTTGCTTGGATCTCATATTTTGCTTGAGCGTCATTCAGCACACTGGGCTGGGTGTTATTTTGTTCTGTTTCTTGAGGGATGAAAATAAGGTAAGACTAGACCACAGAAGGTATAGGTATCTCAGAGAAGCTATTACTGGTGACACTCCCCTGAATCCTGTAACAATGTGGTGGATCTGGGCTGCAACATAGGACTAACTAGTCGGCAAGTTATCCATCAACTGCAGTTTGACAGTGTGCCAGCCTTGGTGCTCCCTGGTCTACATACAGCATTTTAGTTAACACCCCAACG